GGGGGGGGCGTCGCACACTGCAACCATCTAATTAGCATGTTCCGTGAATCCAACGCGGGGCCCCTCCGGTCCCCTCTCTGCTCCCCCCGCGGCCCCTACCCCCACTGGGACGAGCGGAGCCCCAGCGGCGCCCGAGTCCAGCCGGGCCGAGTGGCAGTGGGCCGCGTCGGGGCGCAAGCGGTCGCGGCAGACGGCACGGAGCCTGGTCGGTCCGCGGGGGGCACCCGCTGGGACTGCTAGGACCCGCCGGGGACCAACTCTCCACAGGAAGGTTTGCGATTCGGTTGATTCCTCATGATTACACATAACTTTCCTTCCATTGCCATCTTTGCCAAAGATGACGCGGAAGAGAAGCTTGCCTCCTAACGTTACCGAGGAACGCCAGCAGCCCACCACCTCCCTGCCCCCATGAAAGAATTTTTGTGGCCGTCGTCGAAGGGCGCTGACGGGGGGCCACCCAGCCACGGCCGCGCCGCGCACCCGCGCCCCGCACGCTAAGTGACTCACCTCAGCCGAGACGGACCGGGACGGACGGCTCCCGGCCGTCTCCCCGCGACGAATACCCAATCGACCCCTAAGTTAAATAAAATGCTCACGTTCCGGCGACAACGAGGAAAAATGTGAGTTTGTCTGCGCAGAGGGTTAGAGCAGGGGGAGGGAGCGGAGAGTAGGACCGTCACTCCGAACGGGGAGACGGGGACGGGGAGTATGTGCAGGAGTTCGATTCAAATGCAAGTCTGCGGTGGGAATAGAACAACCCAAGTTCGCGCAGGAGGACAGTTACGTACGGTGGGTGTCCAGAGTGGGAAGGCAATGCTGGGTGGAGAGGAGACCAGAGAGAAGCGCTGACATGCCCCATTTTATATTTCTCAACGTCACATTATCACCGCGACGATCTCTCGTGGCGGTAGGTGGGCAGTCAAGTGCAGTGCGCTGGCACACAGCAGCGAGTAAGTAAGTAAGCGGGGCGGTAACAAGTAGCTCTGCGTAATGGGAGATATGTGACCACACTGCGTCCGCCCGCCCGCCCGCCTCACCCGCGCACACCTCGCACGTCCGCCCGCCCGGCCACCTATCTCCGCTCGGCTACCGGCCGGCACCGAACTACGCAAGTACTGCTCACTACATCCCCGACGACGACGAGAGTACCCCAATTAGAAGTCACACACGCACACACGCGGGGGTAACAGGATCGCCTGCCCGTCCGCGCGGCGGGAGCTACCGGCCTGACGCAGCACGTCGCCGTCGTCGACAAACGCGGAGGGAGGCTGTCTGCAGCTACTGCTGCTGCCCGTCGTGCCCGAGAGGACGTCCCTCCTGGACGTCCAGCAAGCGAGCGGGCCCCTGTGGGAGACTGCTGCAGCGCCGGTGTACCGGGAAGAAAAGCGCACTGATCGTGTCGTGCAGGTCTCCGCGCCGCCGCGCTCCGCCACCCCCTGCGGCCCCCGGGCCTCGTCGTGTCCTTCCGCTTTGCCAATTAGCGTACAAACAAACAGCAGCGGGTCCTCAAACTCGCGAGGAGTTACTCAGAATCAGTTCGTCCTCATGTTGAACGCGAAAAATGTTACTGCCCACATCTACGTCCATCTTAAACATGAGTGCCGATGGATGGCAGGAATGGGAGGTATGGCCTTAGAACGTGACGACGTGGTAGGTTTGAAAGTGTACATCACTTTGAGTGTCTGGGGTTCAATTGCACTTCTTGATTTGCTTTCTTCCGCTTCGAGTTGGACGCAGTTGGCCTTCCCTCCCGTCTGCCTGCCGTCACGGCGCGGCCTGCGGCCCTGCGGCCTGGCCGAGGGGCCCTGGCGCTGCGCGGCTCGGAGGAGAGCGCTATCGCCTTGGATCTGAGGGGCAAGAGGGGCTCTCCGCGACGACTCGTCAAGCCTTTCCCCCGTTTAACGTAAGGGCACACACACAGACACACACACACACGCACCGAGCGCACGTCCTTCCCTAAACAAAGCGGCATGGCGCACCAGCGCTGCCGCAAACCACCCCTGGAAAAGTCAGCCTTCTCTCTCCATCTCTGCCTTCATGGAGAGAGGAGACAAGGGGTGAGGAAGGGGGAGGGGTGGAGAGAGAGAGAGAGAGAGAGAGAGCTGCAGAGACACATAGAGCAAGGCGGCAAAGAGGCACGCGGCGGGCCAGGCCGGTATACAACGGAGATGACGACGCTCGGCTTCACTTTCTGGGGAGATTCGGGGCAGATATGGCCGCAGGCCAATGAAATATACTGCCGCGGCGCGCTGGCATGCGTCCGGGCCGGGGGCCGGGCCGGGCGGCACCGAGTGGCCTCCGCGAGGTATAACTATATCGCCCGTGACACCACGTG